TCCTCTGCAGTGCCAGGAGGGAAGAGCGAGCACAGCACACATACAGGTGTCACTCCCGCAGCACAGTCTGTAGAACGTCCTTCCTAGCGTTGTTCATTTCCAATATGGAACTGGAAAATAAGTCACTGGATGAGAATGAATATTCAAGTGGAAGGCTGAGAAAATGCAGGAGCTAAAAGGTCATTTAATAGGAACAAAGACGAAACAAACTAAGAGTGTTTAAAGGAAAGTACGAATAGTGCTTCTACTGGTTGTGTCCATAAACCTAACACAAAGAGCGAAGTGGTCAGAAGCTTTAGGGATTCCCACCCAAAGTGGGATAGTTCACACTGAGAACAAACATGCTACTTAGAGTTGGAGAGCACTGAGCACGAATGGTTGGTTGTATAACCTGGCAAGGGGGTTAGAATGGGAAGAGAAAGGACAAATGATCTACAGGAATGCAGTCAACATAGATCTGTATCCATCTCCAGAGCCAGTAGCAAGAAAAGGGGACTAAAAGGGCTTCCGGACTCTCCAAACAGAAACATGAAAGGAATTTCAGGAAATGGGGTGATAGTGTGTTGTTAATAGTATACCAAGTTTTGTATTTCCCACATGCAGATATAGAACACAGGAAGTGAAGTCATCTGAAAACTGTCACCGGCAAGGATGGACTCAAGTCAAAAGCAAAAGAGAGAATGTGAAAGTTACATAGCAGGTTGATATAAGCAGACAGACATACAGACAGACTTGTCACATTTGACTTCATTATTTGGGTAATTTATACTATATCTAAATTAGCGTGGTTTCTGAGCACCATTTTAACAGTCCATCTTACCAGCAGCAGTGCCTGCCCAGTGTTATTTTAATCACATCACAGAATTCTGTAAGTTAAAATTTCAGGCAGGATTTGGATAGATAGCAGTTAGGCAACTTACGTCATACTTAGATGACAAATGAGGTCGTTGGGAAGGTCAAAGACGGGCTTGCTCACACACTGGAGCATTGGGGCCAGCAGGGAGCTTGCAGGCCTCTTCTGAGATAGGCTTGGAAGTCATGGACATGGTGACTTCTGCGCTTCTGAGCTAGCCTTGGAAGTCATGTGTATGGCCACCTCTAATGTGACTGTTGATTTTTAAATCCTGAAGGGTAGTTCAAGAGAAGAAAAAGAGACTGAATTTCTTGGTGGGAGACTGAAAAGGTCATGCTACAGGAATGTGAAATGGGAGATATGGTTGAGGCCATCTTTGGACCACCCAACCTGCCTTAGGGATACATACGTGCACCTTTAGTATTTAAGTGCTAAAGACTGCAGTCCCTGAAAAGACATTTGCAATGATTGACTAGTCTGACTCCATCTTAAGATTAGAAGCTATCTTGTTAAAAGTTAAAAATAAGTTTCTTCCTGTTTTCTGTAAAACCTGGGATTGGCCAGGTCTTGGCCCATTTTCCGGAACCTAACATGCTCCGTACCCTGTAGCCTGATTTACACCCTGGTAAGATGCTCTGCCAAACAATTTTGAAATGTGTTGCCAAGTTCCTACATAAACAAAATCCCTTAGAAGCTCCCTGGCCTTGCCGGGTGGTGGTGGAGCACGCCTTTAATCCCAGGCAGAAGCAGGCGGATGGATCTCTGTGAGTTCAAGCCCAGTCTGGGCTACAAGAGCTAGTTCCAAGACAGGTTCCAAAGCTACAGAGAAACCCTGTCTCGAAAAACAAAAAACAAAAAACAAAAAAAAGAAAGAAAGAAAGAAAGAAAGAAAGAAGCTCCCTAGCCTTGCTGTTCTGTCGCTATAAAAACCTCATTTCTCCTGAAAGCGGGGCTGCTCTCTCAAACTCCGCTTTAGGGGGATAACCGTGTCTGACAGAAAATAAAACTTGCTTAATTCAACAAAAATATTTGGGTGGGTGGTTTTGACTCTCGTTCAATGGGATTCACACCAGTTCACAAGAAATATAAACTATTCAAGAAAACTTTGATTTTTTTTTCTTTTTCCTTCAGGAGAGTCTAGAAGACCCACAGAGGATAACATATGTCAATACTCAGATAATCAGGAAGAAATAAGAAGGTACCAAACAAATAAAAACTTTTTACTAAGTGCCAATTTTGTTTGGGATACTAAACGTAATCTCTTTTTTATTTTTTGTTTTACTTTGGAGTGTAAGTTTCCATCTGCATCTATGTATGTGCACCATGTGTATGCCTAATGCCCTAGGAGGCCAGAAAAAGGCATCAGATCCCCTGGAAGTGGAATATCATATAGTTGTGAGCCACCATGTGAATTCTGGGAACCAAACCCGGGTATTAAACAGTGTTCTCAGGCGCTGAACCGCCTGCCTGGTCCCCAAGCACACCCACCTCGCCTGGTCGCCTGGTCTCAGTGAGCTAACACTGGCACACTGTCCCTAAACACCCCAGACTCACTTTGAAATATTTCATACTTTAAGTACTTTTCATCTTCAAGGTATGTTTTTAAACACAGAAAGCAAAAATTTCTTTGAAAGTAAGTTGTTTTTAACTTTGTAGCACAATGCAAAAGTTAATCTTATCATTTATTTTATTTCAGATCCCCAGATAATCAATTAAATGAAGCTTAAGTGACCCAACATCAAGGCGAGAAGAGACTGAGAGCCTTAGACTTCGGCTTCATCTGAGGGGAGCGTGTGAGGAGTGATACAGAGCTATAAAGGAGTTACAGTTGCTTTTATTGAACTTTGTGCTGCAGTGACTACAGCAAGTTTAGGACGATGAAGAACAGCTCACCTGGTTAGGAAGATCAAGAGTTACTCATAAAATAAACTAAAATGTATCCTCTTACCCGCTACTACCCAAGAAGTCATGGCATCCAAGAACCAAATTTTAATTATTCCTGATTGTAAATATTTCCAAGTTAATGAAACCATTCATGCTGAATAAATATATGATAGTATTTGCTAAAATTCCAGGGAAATGTCCCAGTGCACAAAGGGTCCTAAGCAGTCCAAGGTGTGCTTGAACAATATGGCTAAGCGCTGCTCAGTTTGCTTGGTGTGTGGAAACTTGGATTAATGGCAGGTTTAGCTGATAGATCCTGACCTAGTATACACATGTACATTTGAGACAGTAAGAGAAACCCTTTGATCTCAGGAACCTTTGTTGGCATGCTTGTGACTGAACGGAGGTAGCTGAAACGGTTACCTTGGAAACATATGGACTGCTCAGGTGAATCCATCACGGTAGTACACTACCAAGAATAAAGACTGTATTCTCTTTCAGTGCGCTCAGGGTCTACTCTAGTTCTGCTTCCTTTCCTGTTTCGCAATTGCAGAGCAGAGACTAATCCTGGAAGTGGTCAGAGGTGTTCAGGTGTGCCTACTATCAGCCCAAAAAGTGGACTGGTTCAGCAACAATATGATAAAGATGATCCGATGCCCACACCAGAAAGCCTAGGGAATGCGCAGGAAGGGGAACAGCTCTTGTGGCTTGTAAGTCAATTTCCGCAGCACCCAGTCCCTGGTCATGTCTTTTGGTTCTTACCCTAAAATTAGAATTAAAATGTGAGTGTGAGCCCTCCTTCAGGCCTGCCCTTACTGTCTGCCCTCCTTCAGGCCTGCCCTTGCTGTCTGCTCTCCTTCAGGCGGTTGGCACTCTCAGGACACCACAATGGAACCTGAAGAAGTGTTGAGTGCGTAACTAGCAGTCACTGACCATAGAACTGCCTGAGAAATCAGGTCTTCTTTCTCCAAAAATGTCCTACTTGCTCCTTCTAAAAGGAGCTGCTGTCCAGAAATTGACAGACAGGGTGAACCGGGACCAGGGTGGGGACAATTAACTTTAAAATCTTAAACATATAATAAGGAAGGCATTTTGAAATGATGGTGAGCCATGTGTGATAGCTTGCACCTTTAATGCCAACACTCAGGAAGTAGAAGCAGGAGAATGTCTGTGAGTTCAAGGCCGGCAAGATCTACAAAGAAAGTTCCCGCTAGTGCTACATAGTAAGACCCTGTCAAAAATAAGTCCAAGGTCAATCTGTTCTACACAGAAAGTTCCAGGCCAGCCCTGACTACCTGGTGTGAGACCCTCTTTCAAAACGCATAAATAACATAAATAATTGTAACAAAACGAAATTAAAAGACCAGCAACAGAGTGGGAGATGAGGTTACAACAGCAAGAAGATAGTTTTTATAAAACACAAATAATAATTTGTTTTTATAGTTTTATAATAATATGTAATTTAATAAAAAGAAAGATGAAATGAAATACAACCTAACAGAAAGAGACAACCCCAAAGAGATGATTCATAGAAGAAAGAAATAGAAATCCTAAAACCATACAGGATGGAAAGATGACTCAGCAGTTGATCACTGGCTGTTCTTCCAGAGGATGCAGATTCAACTCCCAGCACCTGCATGGCAGCTTATCCAACACCTTCACACAGACATGCATGCAGGACAAACACAAATGCACATGAAAAAAATAAAAAAGTTATTAAAAAAAACTTTAAAAAAACATACAGAAAATAGTAGTCAAGCTGGTGGGATGGAACAGAACGTCACAAGGGACAGTATGGCAGGGCCCCAATAGAGTTATTATAGGTTATAGGCTATTGGATCCAACTGTCATAGGATCCAAAAATTCCACATCTATACATTCAAAAGAATTAAAAACAAAGTTAAGAGAGAGAGAAAAGAAAGGGAGAGAGGGAGGAAGGAGGGAAAAGGGAGAGGGTGAGAGAAGAGCAAAGAGGGAAGGAGGAGGTAAGAGAGGGGAGGAGACAGAGAGGGAAAGGAAGGAAAAGAGAGAAAGGAAAGAAAGAAAGAAAGAAAGAAAGAAAGAAAGAAAGAAAGAAAGAAAGGAAGGAAGGAAGGAAGGAAGGAAGGAAGGAAGGAAGGAAGGAAAGAAAAGAAAAGAAAAGAAAGACAGGGCAAAAGTGATAAAATGGGAAACTCTGAAGGAGAGAAGACAAGATACTGATACCAGCCATTTGCAGCACCGTCTGGTAAAGGACTAGACCTGAGAATATATAAAGAACTTTTATAGCCCAATAATAAGAGAAAATGTAATTCAACATATAAGGGGAAACTTGAGTAGGCTTCTCAGCACAAAAAAAAAAAAAACACTCCTGTGGCAATAAACCAAGAAAAATCTGCCTGGTCACTGTTAGTCATAGGAAATGGCACATTCAGACAACAGAGAGGTGTCACTATAGGTCTGTTAAAACGGTTAAACAGCCAGTGACACCGAGTGCTGACAGGGGTGCCTGGTGATCGGACTGCTCAAAGTGGTAGGTGCGGAAGAACGGCGCAGCTTCGTCTGAAAGTTCTTCAGCGGCACCTTACAGCCTAAGCCCCTGCCTATGACCCAGGAAGCCCACTCAAGGTATTTCCACCAAAGGAAGAAAGCACACATTGATGAAATGGTGAGGTTTTCATTACATTGCAGATCCTGCAAAATGTCTATGGACGTCAGCTGACGTAGGTATTTGACTGGTTAGCCTTCCAGAAGCCATAACATTAAAACAAGGGCAAAAAAAATGCAATATTGAATCTAATATTAAATGAAGGCATGTTCTTAAAAGGGAGCATATAACCAAGCATGTCTCCTACACAGAATCGTATGCCGTACCATACCCATCCATGCCTACATTCTCATCTCCAATCTTTCATTTGCCTGTATCTAAAGCATTCAGAGAGGAAATGAGCAAATGTCCTCTGTTACTGATACTGATACATTCTTGCCACTTGCAGCACTGAAGGGCAGTCTCGGGCAGCAAGCCCTCCTAGCCAATGCCGGCTTCAATGTGGTTCTCCATTGGAAAAGCACTCAACTGAACCAGGGGTGGAGGAGGGTGGGGGGGTGGGGGAGGGTGGGGGTGGGGGGTATGCTTACTGGTGGGTCCTGAAGGAAAGAATAAAAGCCAGTACTCAGGAGGCAGAGGTAGGAGGATCTCTGTGGATTCAAATAAAGAATATCTCACAACAGATTATTCTGAAGAACGTGCACCCCCACAAACACTAGCAGCTGGAGGCAGGCATTAACAGATCTTCAAATGCTGCTGATAGTCTCCTTCAAAAATCCCCATATTTGACCAAAAAAAATTCTAAAATGTTCATTGCAGTATATAATTTGGAGCCACAGCAGTGAACTTTTCCTGTTTGCTTTGTATTTGAACCATGCACGATAGTTTTTATGTTTTTGTTTTTCTTTTTCTTTTTCTTTTTCTTTTTCTAAGATAGGGTCTGTCTCAGGCACTTCCCTAGGTAATAGAGAATGACCTCGAACGTCTGATCTTCCCACCTCTATATCCTGAATGCTGGGTTTAAAGACATGCAAAAACACACTCAATTTTAGCCATGCCAGGAAATCACACTCAGGACATGGTGTGCACTAAGCTAAGTCTTCCAGCTGAGCTACATCCCCAGCCCAGCCAGACATGATTTTTTTAATTGATTTTTATTGAACTCTACATTTTTCTCTGCTCCCCTCCCTGCCTCTCTCCTCCCCTTCAACCCTCTTCCAAAGTCCCCATGCTCCCAATTTACTCAGGAGATCTTGTCTTTTCTACTTCCCATGTAGAGTAGATCCATGTATGTCTCCCTTAGTGTCCTCATTGTTGTCTAAGTTCTCTGGGATTGTGTGGTTTGTAGGCTGGTTTTCTTTGCTCTATGTTTAAAAACTACCTATGAGTGAGTACATGATACATGTGATAATTGTCTTTCTGGGTCTGGGTTATCTCACTCAAAATGATGTTTATTAGACCATCCATTTGCCCGCAAATTTTAAGATGATGTTATTTTTTCTGCTGTGTAGTACTCCATTGTGTAAATGTACCACATTTTCCTTACCCATTCTTCCATTGAGGGGCATTTAGATTATTTCCAGGTTCTGGCTATGACAAACAATGTTGCTATGAACATAGTTGAGCACATGTCCTTGTGTGGTACAATTGAGCATACTTGAGTTCCTTGTATGTTTTGGAGATCAGACCTCTGTGTGATATGGGCTTAGTGAAGATCTTTTCCCATTCTGTAGGCTGTCGTTTTGGCCAGACATGATTTTTATAGCATCAAGCATCAATCCTTTAGAAAATATTGGTCCAAAAAAGTTAAGCAGCTCTTTCAAATGTTGACCAACTTCTTTATACAATGTTTTAATTGCATTCAATAATATCACTTCAACCCTCATCAGAAAGTATTTTGAAGCTTGCAAGCTCAAGATGAAAGAAACATGTTTCTAAAATTATGGTTTTTTTTTCATTTGAAAACTCAAATTATTACTAGCAAAAAAAAGGTATCAACTGATTTTCTTGAAGTGACACACTCACTTTGTTCATTTTGAAGAAAGTGTCTGCCACACACATCCTGGTAGTCACTCTTGGAGGTAAAATGGGGGGAAAGGGGAACAGTGAAGTCTACAGCCTAGCCTCACAATGCAGAGGGGCTCTGTGCAGACTCCCCACTTGTCACACAGCACGCACTGTGAAGTGGATTCAAGGGTTGAGATTCAGTAAAGAACCATGCATTCTTCAGCTTTCCTTGTAACTGGTTTCTTTATCTTAAGCTCAGGGAGAGGAAGATGTTTTGCCTACAGCCTGGAAGGCAGCTGTTGCTCACAGCTGCACTCCCAGCAGTCTAATGTAACTGCCCTGATTAGAGCAGTCGGCCCAGTTTCCCCATCACTGGTACAGGTATAACATGGTAATTAAACTAGCAATATTTTCATACAGATATAAAAATAAGCTTAATCCCTCCAATTGCCTGGAAGTTCCTTTCAGACGCCTAGAGGTCTGTAGGACACATCTTGAAAACCTCTAGAATACATAATTATTATTAATATGTTTATTATGAGTTGTGGATTTTTGCTATAGTTTCCTATTTCTTTCTTTTTTATGAAGTACTGGTATGTTTTATTATTTCCAAAACTTCTAATGCAAAGGCCATGGAATTGGTTTTAGTCCAAGTATGTATGTTATAGACATGCCTAAAGAAATGGGAAATGACACACAAGTTCTCATTACAATATTTTAATTAGATTCAGAGTTTAGAAGCATCCCCAGTGTCCACTGAGGGAAGATAGGCTAACTAAGCAGTAGTAGTTTTACACACTAGAGTGCTACACAACAATATACAAAAATGGGGGGACAGGACAAAGAGAAAGAGAATCAAGAAGAGAGTGATGAAGATGATCTTCCAAAATTACGAGTGTGCACAGTCTGTGCGGTTCATTCTCCGGGATACATGGTTCACATGAGGAGTGTGCACACAGTCTGTGTTGTTCATTTTCCAGGATACACGGTTTATGTGATGGGTGTTCATACAGTCTGTGCTGTTCAATGCTTTGTATCTCTTTAAAGCTCATAAGTTTGATCATCACTATGATATTTGTGGGGCCTTTACTAAGTGACAATGACAGAAAGACCATGTCCTCCTGGGTAGGATTAATGTCTTCCAAAAGAGGCCCCAGACATAACCCTATTTTCTCTCTGCTTCTCATCATTCAAGAACAGAACCATAAGACCCCCATCTTGGAAGCCAAGGAACCAGGCTTCACTAGTCAGAACCTGCATTTAGGACTCCAGCCCCAGAGCTATGGGAAATATATTGCCTTCAATAGTGCAGTCTCAGTTACTTTAAGTAGGGCCTGAGGGACGGCTTGGAGGGTCAGAGAGTGTACTGCTCTTCCAGAGGACTTGAGTTGGTTCCCAGCACCCAGATCATATGGCCCCAACCTGTAGCTCCAACTCATGGAGATCCCTGGGCTCTCTTTTCTGGCCTATGCAGACACCTGCACACATGCACATAAACACAGACTTAGAAGCAGCACACAGGAACTGACACTGCATGTTCTCCTTCAGTGGAATACAGGCTGAGAAATTTGCAGTGGAGTCCCGGATGTGGGTATCAGCCTCCTTCAGGCTGCTCTGATGCTCACACTGAGCTGTCAGACTCTTCTCCACTCATGGTGAGTTTCTGAAGCAGGCTGTCAACAGAGTTCTCAGTGCTGGGGCCCTTTGTTGGATGTTGAACAGTGGCAGAGTGGGTGTTGAGACTGTATGGAGTGCTAGGTGTACACACCCCAGCAGGCAGTATTTGTGCTAAAAACACCAAACTGCTCAAATCCTTTCCAAACTACCGCATGATCTTTTGAAAATGGTTTTATGTTATGTTTTATTTACTGGGGACAGAGGGTGAGTACCACAGCATTTGTGTGGAAAACTTTTAGGAGCCTGTTCTCTCTTTCTCCTTTGCGGATCCCAGCAACTGGATTCAGGTTAGACTTGATGGCACCTACCTCTCCCCCGAGTCATCTCGTTAGCCTCCAAATGCATTTTTTACTGTGATCAGTTGTTTTGCTTTATTTCCCTGAAAGCAAGTTTGCTCTTAAAATCTAGATGATGAAGGGAAACTTTCACTCTCTCTAAATCTAGTCCTCAGAATGGTTTTTTATAACATTTTCGTCTTTACAGTTTAAACTCATTTGGATTCTCTTCCGATGCATGTCTATACATAAAGATGAAAAGTGTAAAGCTATTTTATTAGAAATATTGATTTTAAATTTAAAACTGCTGAGAATAAATTGCTTGTTTAAGAAGAGCCAGAGGGGAAACAGTGAACAAGGGTGTTCTATGTAAATACGCACCGTTAGGGCGTGCCGTTCCGCCTATCATTTCTATGAAGAGATAGTGTGCCTGAATTCATGTCTCAGTACCTCAGCGGCAAAGTAAAAAAGGAGATCCAGGGCAGAGTGTAGCACAAACGATGCCTGCCAGCCCCTTGTGTCTGTGCGCATGCGTCATCCCTCACACTCATTCACTTCCCCCTTCACCGCTAAGTCTGCTGGCAAAGAAATATTTTGTCACAACACAGCAAAAAAACTTTTTCAAAGAACCTAACGACTATATATTCTGAAGAAAGCAAATAGGGGCTTTAAGTTAGGTCCAAGCAGCCATGAGTTGCTCAACCCCAAAAGAACACCAAACAGTGGCAGCAAGGAGTCTCCAGGAAGTTCCCAAAGGGCTTTCTTCTGGGGGCAGCCTGTGCTTTCTACTACGGTATTCAATAGAGAGATAACATCTTACTCTAGAAGATGTCCTCGGACTCCTAGGATGTAGGGATGGGCTAGGACCCTAGAAACGCAGAGGAAAGGACTTTCAATGACAGGCTAACCCTCACCCTAGTGCATACGCCAATCTGGAAGCTTCCTGGAAGTGTTAGGAAAATACAAGTTGATCATGACCAAAATAGACCCCATTGTCTAAAGCAAGTTTTTCCACAATAAACACATGAAGCAGGCTGGGGATTTGGCTCGGTGGTAAAGTGCTTGACTTAAATGTGTAAAATGATGGATCTCATTCTCACACCAAAAAGAAATTAACCACA